GTTCTACTCTCTCTCTCTCTCTCTCTCTCTCTCTCTTTTTTTTTTCTTAAAGTCTGGGGGCAGGTCTACACTTAAAACTCTGCAATGGCGCAGCAGTACTTTGTGAAGATGCTACTGTGCTGACAGGAGAGCATCTCTCATTGGCTTAGTTAATCACCTCCATGAGAGGCAGTAACTGTGTCAATGGGAGAAGCCCTTGGGGATTTTTCACACCCCTGAGAAATGTATTTACACTTCTGTAAGTTTATAATGTAGACCTGGCATGAGACTTACTGAAAAGGCACTTTTCAAAATTTGAAAGACTGTGTACTCTAAAATCTAGTTTGGATTTATTAACTTTTATGTCACTTTAAATTGAGGTTGAAAATTAATATCTCAGCCCTTTTCAGCTTCCTTGATTGAGGCAGTTATTGGGAAGGTACTGCTCTGAAGGCATAGGAAGCAGCACTCAGAGCAGTACTTAAGTATCTGCCAGGAAGAGGCCCAGTCTCTCTATTTTTCACCTCCTACATCTCCACCATGCTGAAATCATGGAAGCAGGAAGTGGGGTGGAAGGAAATACCACTGACAAGTAGCTCCTAGGGAGCTGCTGGCTCTGGTACATCTGCAAAGCTACTGAGGAGGCTGGAGAAGTGTAGCTTTTCATTTCCTGAGGCACTCCACTGCAGTCTGCCTGTGTGTTTTCTTAGTGGCATATTGTAAAGGCTTCATTTACCAGCTTCTTCTCCCCCTAGATCCTGATAGTACCTTCATGATCCCTCCCCCTTACCTTTCTTTGCTTGTCTGGATTAGTGAAGAGAAAAGCAGAGGGTAAGGGAGCATGAAGAGCTGGTAAGTGAAGCCACTGGAGGAAAGCAGACAAGGAGTTGTGGGGTGTCAGGAGGTGAAAAGCTCCTCTTCCTGCTCCTTAGAAGTTTGCAGAAGGGCCAGAACTGGAAGCTATCAGTGACACATTATCTTCCAGTTGGCATCCACCTCCCGCTTCCTACCCGTTACATCCCTTGTCTGCCCCATGTTGGAAGGAGGCATGAACTAGGAGAAATGCTCTCTGCACACACTCAGAGACTGGGAGTTGAAGCAGGGGTTAAAATTTCTAAACTTGATCTCAGTTTAAACTAATTAAAAAAAATTCACATGAACATTTCAAGGATCTTTCGAATTATGAAAGATGAGTATAACGTTCCTGGGAATTGTTGATACCAACACTGTAAAGTGGAAGTTTCACAGTGAGACCATATGTCAGATTCATCATTATGATTTAATTGCAGGGTGAAATAGAAGCGGAAAGGGAACAGCAAGGGGAAACAACCCTTATTTAAACACAAATTACTTTGGCAGTTATTCAAAAGGAATTAGAAAAAAGTGAAGGGCCATAATTTCAAAATGGGTGTCTCAGAAGCGCATGAAAAATATGCAGTAATGCATATCTGACTGTTTGGGGCATATAATTGCATATTGTACAATGTAATGACTTTTTGCACCTCCCTCCTTCATACATCATAGGACATACGTTTTTAAGACTTGAACCAAATGGTAAATGGATTTATAGTTTGTCATTTACAAAAGACTATTACTCATCCACACTTTGATTCACCCCAAATAATGGTGACCTCTGAGCATAGAGGTAATCACAGACTGCTGCAATAAGATCCGAGACTAGTCTTACATTACTCATATTACTACTATATTGCTAAGACTATTGTTTGTGTAAAATATGCATTATGAAATATCACTAATATCTAAAATTAAACTCCAGTGTCCAAATAATGTACTTGTTGTGATGTCTGTTCCTGATATGTATTGCTTATTCATTTAGGTCCTGATCCAAAGCCCACTGAAGTCAGTGCAAGTCTTTCCATTTCAGTAGGCATTGGACTAGGCTGAATTTTGTTAGAGCACAATTCTTTAATGGATTTCCCTGTCATTAGTGCAGATTAATGAAGCTTTGCTGTATCCTCCCTGTTTGAGAGCTCCTCTCTAAGGCATATTTAGCATCCTGTATGTCTATTTCGGTCTATTGATTAAAAACAGCATATATTTTACAATACATACCAACTTTGAAAAGGTATATTATGTGCTAATGGGCCTAATTTAATCACTTTTTAAAGAGGATTTTCTTTTTATAATACTGTAAAAGCCTCTTTGGAGCTGTGTAACCTAAATGTAGGACTGTTGATCCTTTATCCATAAACATTGCACAATGCAAATCTCAATTGTTATGTAATGAAAAAGAGTGGGTTATGTTACACTTCATTGAAACTATATGAAATTGGTGTTCTGCCATCTATGAAATTCATGAACTTATGGAAATGTTAGCTTCTGACTGAGTTGGCAGGAAATGAATAAAAAATTATGCAACTTTCTGGAAAGGGCAACTTGCCATATATTCATTTCTCTTGCAGCTCTTGATTTTTAAAAACCACAGCTGAAACTGTCCCTGGTGAACTTACGTTTACATGCAGCTTCTCCCTTGCCTCTACTGCACATACCACTAGCATCATTACAAAAATGCATGCAGTGATTGCTAACTACGTGTATGTTTAAAGTACTGCTAGTTATGTGATTTTATTGTCTGTCGGTGTTTGAATATGAACAAATAGATTTGCTATCACTAACTGATTTAGGTGCATTGTGGGCAGGCATCAAGACAGAAGGTGGATTGTCACAATCACAGTCACCTGGACAGACAGGATTTCTAAGCTATGGGACAAGCTTTAGCACGCCTCAGCCAGGACAGGCACCATATAGCTACCAAATGCAAGGTCTGTATACATATGTATTACCATTTGTAGTATGTTTCATTGTTCTATTCATTTTTCCTTTTAGAATAAAACAAATATCAATGTAGGGTGGGATTTTCAAAAGTGCCCAGCATTGGCCTAACTCCGCTTTCTTTGCTGTCAGTGATAAAAGTCCCACTGACTTTAATAGGAGTAGAATTAGGCCAACCCTCAGTGCTTTTGAAAATTCCACCCTTAATGATTAAGCTAGCATTTTAATGTAAATATTCTATTCTTATTATAACAAATAATTTTGTTTTCATAAATAGTGCACTAATGTGCTTCAGAGCATAGTACTGGAAAAAATTGTCATGATATGAATATAGGAAGTGACAAGATTTAACTTAACACCTGAGTCTGTTTTCTCTATCCATAAAACAGGTAAATATTTTTTGTCCCTTTCAGAGCCTTTGTCAGAGTTAATTAACATGTTTCTAGTATTTTGAAGGTGTAAACCTTTGTAAGTTCTAGCTAATATTGTCAATTAATTTTTTTTCTAGATGCACTTATTTGTTTCTTTTAAATATGGCATTAAAATACATTTTTCTATGTTATAAATGTAGCATGCATATTCCTACCTGTTATTCACTGACTGAGTGTAACTAGTTCTGGAATCTGACCATCCATATAGGCCAAAATTTTGAGTGCCCAACTTGGGACATCTTTGACCTGATTTTCAGAGATGCAGAGTACACACTTCTCTAGTTGCAGTTTGTAGGAGTTGTCGGGGATAAGCACCTCTGAAAAGAAGGGCCAGGGTGTCTCAGACATCCAAAATTGAAGGCTGTTTCTGAAAAAGTTGGCACCAGTTTTTATGATACCTGTTACAGTTTCTAGATGTAATTAACTCTCTATCAGATGTTCTGAAGCAGACATGCATTACTGGATTAACTGGACAGGGCTTCTTTTATGTTTGACGGCTTTTAAGGAGTATTGATCCAACCCTTAGTTCAGATACAGCAGAGCAGCTGCAGTATTGAAAAGATAATCATCTGACACACAGCTTCTTAAATATAGATCTAGGTACTCTGCATCCGAGCAGGCAGGAAACAAGACAGTACCAAATAAGTATGTTTACTTTTATCTATTTGGTAATTAAAAGTTTTCTATTCTGAACGGGAATAATCATAACCAGCTTATTGGTTCACTGTCTGCTGATAGTTACATCATCAGAACTGAAGGAAACTAACTTGATTGCGTAAGAGCTCAAAATACTTACCAGTGATTTTACAAGCAACTCCCAGAAGGCAGATTCTATCAAGAAATCTTTTAATCCATTCTCACTAGGAAATACTTGTGCTGAAGAATATGTTGTTGTTGTTGTTAACAATTTGTATTTCAGTAGTGCCTTGGTGCCACAGTCATGCATCAGGACCTTGTTATGCTAGGCAGTGTATCAATACCTAACAAAAAGACAAGCTTAGGGCCAAATTTTTATAGGTATTTAGGCATCAAACACCCATAGAAGCTAGACATATAGATACGTTTAAAACAGTGGTTGCAGCACACCAGCTACCTAACCATTATTGAGTTTTTTGTAGGCATCGTAGCAGAGGATAACTTTAAGGAGGGTTTTGAGGGAGGGCAATGAGGGTGATTTTGCAGCTGTTTATGGGAAGCTCCATGGGAGAAAGTGAGAAGGTACTTGTTGGAAAATTTACAAATTGGTGAGGAAACTGGTATCATTGGCAGAGCGCAGGCAAGAGTGAACATTGCAGTAGTATATGGGAGATGATAGCTAGAGTGGGCATAGGCTCTGAAAGACCTTGAAAGTCATGCAGTGAATAGGGAGCCAGTGGAGAAATGAAAAGAAAGTGATGACAAGTTTGAAGTGATGAGTTGTGTGGATGAAGAAGAAAGGCCAGATCCTAAAGATATTATCTAAGAAACAGCAGCAAGATTTAAAAACTGCCTGGATGTAAAGATCTAGAAAGCTGGATCAAAGACAAGGCCCAGATTATGAGGGTGAGTGACAGGGAGGATGGTGGTAGTGTCCAGGGTGACTAAGAGAAGAGAGGGTTTGAAGGAAAAGATTACAAGTTCTGTTTTGGCATGGTTAAACTTAAGATGATGGCTAGATATCAACAAAGAGATGTCAGAGAGACAGGCCACAATTTTATTTTGACCAAAAGGAGAAAAGTCAAGAGTGCAGAGAGCGAACTATAAGTCATCAGTTAAGTCATGTTTGAATGAAATAACCCAGAAAGCAGGTAGAGAGGGAGAAAAAGAGGATGCCAAGACTGGAGCCTTGTGGAATACCTACAGAGAGTTGGCGTGGAGATGAGGGTGATCATCCAAATGAAATGCTGAAGTAGTTTTAGGGAGGTAGAGGAAGACCACAACTTTTCTAGTCATTTTGTTCTTACAGTTAGGACCTGTCTAAATGAACCCTTAGTTCATGATAGGCTGGGGTGTAAACCTATCTTACTAGCCTGAAATGCACAAAGTGTTCGTGTGGACCCTGCTACCATGCACCAATGGTTCCTTAGTATGCTTTGGTTTACCCCACTTTGAAAGCAGAGTAGATAAAAGTGCACTAGGAACTGCTAGTGCATGTCAGCAGGACTTAGTGTAGCAGGCTGGTGTTGGGTAGAGTTACACCCCAGCTTGCTGCAAACTAAATGTTCATCTGGAAAAACCTGTTGTAAGAATAATATTTTACAGGATTTTTCTACACCATGTTTTCCTTGTCATTATCTTTTTAGTGTGTCTTTTAATTGGGTTAATTCTATATTTTTAAAAACTTGGTACTAGCTTAATTTTGGGGGATATATCTGCATTGGTGGGAGGGCGTGTAGTTAAGTGGTAGAGTGCATGTAGGAGTAGAGAGGTTATTTTACTTTGGTATTTGGTACTGATTTGACTGCTGCTGGAATAATGTGTCCTGTTCTGGTATCCACAATTCAAGAAGGGTTCAGAGAAGAGCCACAAGAATGATTAAAAGATTAGAAAAGATGCCTTATAGTAATAAACTCAAAGAGCTCAATCATGTATCTTAGCAAAGAAGAGGATAAGGAATGACTTGATTAGAATCTCTAATACTACACAGGGAGCAGATATTTCATAATGGGTTTGAGTCAAGCAGGCAAAGGTATAACAGGATCCTATGGCTGGAAGTTGAAGCTAGACAAACTCAGACTGGAAATAAGGTGTACATTTTTAACTGTGAGGATAATTAACCACTGAAACAGTTTACCAAGGATAATGGTGAATTCACCATCACTGGCCATTTTAAAATCAAGATTGGATGGTTTTAAAAAAATATTTCCCATAGGAATTATTTTTGGGAAATTCTATGGCCTGTGCTACACAGGAGGCCAGACTAGATTATCACAGTGATCCCTTCTGGTCTTGGAGTCTTTGAATCTATGAATTTTTCATTCTGACTTGAGAGGTGCTAGGAATAAACAAGAATGTTTGTTTCCCTTCATAATTTTAGTTCTGGAAATTCAACAGCTTCGAGATTTAAATTACTCTTCAAGGTTGGAATTAAGCTTCCCCACACAAAACCACAGTCGTTGTTTGTTCAGAGACCTCCAGAGTGGGAATGGATTTATTCCCCTTCCCCCCTGTACGAATGCATGGGCAGGCTGCAGGTTCTCAATGCATCCTTTCCACAGAGGCTGAAATAGCAGCTGCTAGTGCTCCTCATCCCCTTAGTGTGGTTTCTGAACCACTGAATCAAAATTATAGACCCTTTGGCCTGCTCCATAAACAACCCACCAGGCTGGTGCCTCTGGTGGCATCCCTTTCTGTTACAGGTAGGGCTGCAAGATAACCCTGAACTGCTGGTGTGCCTGCACTGCCACCACACCTCCCCCCCACCCCCCTTTGTGTCAGGATTACCACCCGCACCTGCAGCACATAAATTGTGTGGAGGCCACTATGCTAGCCCTTCCCATTAGGAGCAAATATCACCTGAAATGTAGATATGTTGTAGTGCATGTGTGGGCAATTACACAATGCCTTGCCTGTCCATACTAAAATTCTGGCATGGTGAGTAGCTGAACAATAGGTAAGGGAAAAGCTGCCAACTTTGAAAATCGTGAGGCATATGGCTGTATGAGTATCCACACAGACATTATCTTGGTACTTGGGCTTCAGTTTGTTTTGAATTTTTCATCTTTACAGTTCGGGGGGGGGGGTGGGGGGGATTATTTCTTCCTAACTACCATGCTTCTCACTCCGCCTTTGGTAAGTGTTCCGAAGTATGATCCTTGAGTTCTTACTCATGTAAGCAGTCTCATTGAAGTCAAAGGACCAGTCACTTGACTAAAGACTGTAGCCCTGAGCCCATAGTTTCTGAATTGATGGTACATGTGGAAAATGCTCAGTCAGATTAAATGGAGTAGGGAGAAGGCTGGGGGGTGGTGGGTTTAGAAAAGTGTAAGGGAATAAAAAGCAGAGAGAAGGACCACACTTGCAGCTATGCAGTTCTGTTTAAAAATCAAAGAAATATAAGCCCTTGTCTGTATTTAATTGTGTATATTACTTTGTATCAATGTATCATTCCTCTGTAGTGGTGTTAAATTTATGAGTGCTGCTATTCTTTTAGTTACACAGGTTGTTATGATTCAGACTATACTAACCAATGGGTTTGGAAATTCATCCATAAAAAAGTAAATCTTAAGGTATTTAGTTATTATTATGGAGTTTAAAAATATTGTGCTGGATGGCCAAGCAGTTACTAGGAAAAATAGGGAGAGTTTGCCAAAGAATTTTAAACAGCATAAGGAAGAGAAAGAATCCTTGGGTTTAAATAGCCCATCTGGCCTTCATAGTGCAGCTCTCCAGGGAAAAGCCCAACTTCTGCCACATATATTGTGCCCTGATGATAGACATAGCCCATGGCAAGTAGGCTGATCAAGGAAAGCAAATGGACTTCTGTAGAAAATACACAGGGGAGGACAGCATCCTGCCTATTTTAGAAGTACTGGAGAAAAGTTCTACACATGGGAGCTGCATACTAGTCCCAGCAGGTTCCAGCATTCTTCATATGCTGACTGAGATTCCTCGCTTTAATGTGGGTCCTTGTTCTTTGCAAACTAGACCTTTGACCCGCAATTTACAGCTTTTATCACATTAGAAATCCTATGGTTGGCCAGTTTGTTGCAGTAAGCCTATATATTTCATAAATATTCACAGTTCTTTGTTCATCTAATACAGGAACAGTATGCTCTGTGCCATGACACAACTGATTAAAAAATGTGGCAAAATTGAAGTATTTTAAAAACAACTTTAGGCCAGTAGCCCTGGGTGGCCCACACAGCAGTTTCTGAGAAACCTGTTTCATGTTTGTTACGGTCTGTGAGGCCCCCAGCCCTCCTCTATAGGAGCCAATGCTGACCATAAGATGAAAGAGTTTTTTTTTTTTTTTTTTTGGTGATATGTTGACCAGGGTGCAATTACTTTTTTCTTTTGCTCTTGTAAATTATCTGCCAACACACATTGTGAAAAGATAATGCAGTAACTAAAGAAGAACTTTTAAAATATGAGAGGCCCGGTACTACTTTTTCAGAATAATTTGAATGACAAACCTATAATGCTTGTACATGTATTTCTGCATCAGTGAATTTAAAAAAAAAAAAAAAAAATCTTATTTCCCCTAACCGTGGCATTCATGGAAATAAAAAAAGCTTGAAGACTTTTGCATTTTAAAAGATTTGGCATCTTCATTCTGACTCTCTGGCTTATGATAATGTAAAAAAAATAATTTTAAATTCTTGTATTTTTTCATTAGTAGTATTTCTCTGTACCTAGTGCTAAACATGGATGCAAACTCTTCTGCTGAAGCACTCTGATTTAGCTCACAGGTTTATGAGCATCTATCAACCACTGTGCAGCCCGACCAGTAATAGTGGAAAGTAATGAAGATTTATAGGAAAAAATCTAAATATTTCTTACGGTTACTGTCTCTTGCATTACATTCAGCTTGTATTTTTACTCCGAACATGGTTGGACATCCCCCACACCCACTGCGTACAAGGTCTTCAGTGGCCATGGAGTATGCAAGTTTTTATTAACTTTCACAATTTAATCGTTTTAATATTTTTGCCCCATGATTTTGGGGATGTACATTGTTCCTGACATGGCTTATTTAAAAAAAAAAAAGGGGGGAAGAGCAAGCACCCAGATCTGCACTCCTTGCAGTTAATGTATATTTTAGATGTGAAGCCTGGAATTAGTTCAGAGTATGTTTTTATTTTTTTTTAATATCATCATTATCTTTTTAACCCAAACCTGCAACAGCATCAGAGTCATCTAACCCAGGGGTTCTCAAACTGGGGGTCGGGACCCTTCAGGGGATAGCCAGGTTATTACATGGGGGGGGGGGGGTGGCGAGCTGTCAGCCTCCACCCTAAATCCTGCTTTGCATCTAGCATTTATAATGGTGTTAAATATATAAAAAAGTGTTTTTAATTTATAAGTGGGGGTTGCTCAGAGGTTTGCTATGTGAAAGGGGTCACCAGTACAAAATTTGAGAACTAGTCTTCTCTATTGTTAAATCTCAGGATTATGTCAGTGTCTCAGTCAATTGCACAAAAGACTGTCTCACCAATTTGGAGGTTGCTATGATCTTGACCCATTTCAGCCAATAATGTAATGTGGCAGTGCTAGGGAGCAATGAATTTATACACCTTTCTTTCTATCTGTTTTCATTTTTCAACTTATTTCCTTATCACTTATTTGCTTACCCTAGGTTTTTCTCCCTTGATTGCAGTATATCTTTGTTTGCATTGTGTTTCAAAACTGATTTGAAGGAGGGGAGGCTATAAACAAATAATGCAGGTTAATGTGCAGCTTTTCTGCATTGTCATTTACCCCCTCTCAGCACTTCAGCAGTTCTGCCATATAACAGGCTTTCTTCAGCTCCTATAATTTCTCCCTATGTATCCACATGTCTCACCTCACAGCAGTGTTGCTGCTGGGTGCATAACCAGTGAAGGCAATCCATTTGGATTGGGGTTGCTGCCCTGATTTTAGAGCCACGGCTCCTCAGATTAGACATTAAACATCTGTCTGTTTGGTGGCTAGTGGTGAGGGAGTAGTTCGGTCTCTGTGTTCATTCAGTCTTTGGCATCTATGTTGATAGTTCATGTAGTATATTTATTTTTCCTGGTGTTATGGACAATAACCCCTTCATAAAAGTTTACTGCCCAAGGCTATCTATGATCAATTAGTGAACCATAATGGCTTTCACAACTGGACAAGCTTGTAAACGGCTTAGAGCAGGGACTGAGTCTTCCTCTGTGTTTGTAAAGCACTGAGAACAACGTCAGTTCTCAATCAGTGACAACGTTTGGCCTGATTCTGTGATGTGCTAAGGACCCACAACTCCTATGGACCTCAGTGGGATTTGTACGTGCACAGCACCTTTCACAATCAGGCTTATGGGTACTGCAATATTATTTAAAAAAGAACTTTAAAAGCTCATTACTTTGTTAAGTAAGAACATAACTGGGTCAGACCAATTGTCCATGTACCTCCAGTATTTTGTCTCCCACAGTGACCAGTGCCAGAGCTTCAGGGGCAGTGTACAGAACAGGGCAATTGGAGTGATCTACCCCTGTCTTCCCCTCCCTGCTTCTGGCAGTGAGAGGGTCACCCAGGGCATGGGGCGGCATCCCTGACCATCTTGACTAATAGTCATGGATGGACCTATCCTCTATGAACTTATCTAGTTCTTTTTTTAACCCAGTTATACTTTTGGCCATCACAACATCCCATGGCAATGAATTCCATAGGTTAATTGTGCATTGTGTGAAAAGTATTATAAACCATCTGCCTATTAATTTAGTCAGGTGCCGCCTGGTTTTGGTATTGTGGGGAGGGTAAATAACCCTTCTGTATTCATTCTTTCCACAGTATTCATGATCTCTACCATATTCCCCTTAATTGCCTCTTTTCTAGTCTTTTTAGTCTCTCCTTGTACGGAAGCCATTCCATACTCTTGATCATGTTTGTTGCTCTTCTCTGAACTTTTTCCGGTTCCCTTATATCCTTTTTTGAGATGGGGCAACCAGAACTGAACACAGTATTGAAGGTGTGAGCATATCATGGATTTATGTAGTGGCATTATGATATTTTCTGTCTTGTTTTTTTTATCCCTTTCCTAATAGTTCCTAACATACTATTAGCCTTTTTGACTCCTGCTACGGACTGTGCTGAAGTTTTCAGACAACTATCCACAGTGATTCCAAGGTCTCTTTCTTGAGTGGTAGCAAATAATTTAAAACTCGTCATTGTATATATGTAGTTGGGATTATTTTTTCCAGTGTGCATTACTTTGCACTTGTCAATGTTGAGTACATTAGGTCTGACAGGCATTATATGAAACCAAACCAAAGATATTTCTAAATTTGATCCCATTCCATTCTGTGAATTACAGGTGTTCCATCAGATTCATTTTTCCTCTTATACAATAACTACATAATGAAATATAGGGGTCAAAAATAATGAATTATCACTTTACCTGTTTCTGCATGTTTAGTATTGATGACAACCAAAGTGGTCAACATATGGGAAGTATTACAAGTTTGCTGTGATGGAGTTATTTTCAGATAGAGTGTTTTAGTAATTAACATCATCTTTCATTTCATTTCAGGGAGCAGCTTTACAACATCATCAGGATTATATGCAGGAAATAATTCACTCACAAACTCTACTGGATTTAATAGTTCACAGCAGGTAAATTTGTAAATAAAATTAAACGAAAGTTTGACAAAACTGTATTTCAAACTAGCAAGTCACACAATGCTTTCCCCTTCAAAAATATTAAGCTCACTAGATTTTGCTAAGAAAGATAGTGTCATTTCAAGGGAATTTTTTTCCTACTTTTTATCTCATAAAAGAACTCGCTGCATGGTTATTTTACATAACTGCAATAATATATCTAATAATATTCTGTTTGTGAAAGAAAATTTACTAAAAGTATGTGAAATTTAGGTTTACTTTCACAGTCTCATGTTTGTCAGCTCTACTGTGTACAGTCCAGTGAAGACAGTGGAACTCAGACATGTGTTTTTACTTATATTTTGGAATGTATACTAAAAAGTAGCAAAACCTTGAAAGAAAACTCTGATGTTGCTTTTTGTCTGGTAGGAATATCCATCTTATCCTAGTTTTGGCCAGGGTCAATATGCACAGTATTATAATAGTTCACCGTACCCGTCACATTATATGACAAGCAGCAACACCAGCCCAACACCACCTTCCACAAATGCAACATACCAGCTTCAAGAACCACCATCTGGCGTCACCAGTCAAGCAGTTACAGATCCTGCAGCAGGTAATTACATGGATTTTATTATCCCTATTGGCCACATTTCTGTTAGTTGAAAGGTTTGGGGTTTTGGTTTGGTTTCAGTTTGTTTCTTTTGTTTTTGTTTTGTTTTGTTTTCTCCAAATCTTTAATTTATAGTATCTCTTGCACAGATTTTGATAGAGCACTGGCTAAGAAAATTTAAGATGAATTTTTAAATAAGGTTTTCAAGAGAAATACACAGTAATTTTTATTTATTTGCAATATTACTAATACTTTTTTTAAATTATGGGTTGGGGAAAGCCTTTATGCTGGGCCAAGTTCTGAATCCCTTATACTCAGTGTTTACTTAGGCAAATCCCATTAATTTTGTCTGAATAAATAAATAAATAATTAGTAAAACCGAAAAGGCCTTCAAGATTTAGCCCACTGTACACTTAGAAAGATTGTCTTTATATTGCACATATTATAACCATTATTGTGAAAAAGGTGTGTTCTCCCCCTCCCCCCAATATCTCAAGCATATCAATAGTAGATGGCAGAAGCTTGAAATTTTCCAGGGTAAAGTTCCTAGGTTGCAGATGTGCTTCTCAGTGGTGTGGTAAAAATCCCATTGTAATTTGGCAAAGTTATAAGAGTTCTTAAAAAACATACTTTGCACATGCACAATGGATTTGGTAATGTGATCTCTTAATGTGAGCTGCCAGCATTCTGTCGTTTTTGTGCATGAATCCATAGCTTAAGAAAATGTAGGGAGTGCTGTGTCTTTTTGTACAGTTAGTGAAGGTGAGCTGGGAAGGAAGCAGGTTACAGAAGGAGACAGGACTCTTTCTGTACAGTACGTGTGAATGTGTATGGAAGGCAGCAGGATTCACCTATTTTTTTTTTTTTTTTACTTATGCTTTGGTTTGGTTTGTTGTTTAATACTCTCAATGTCTCACTGGTGTATAATGTTATTAAAAAAAATCCCCCTTACTACAAACAAACAATTAACTTTTATTAAAATATATTTACCATATAATTCTGATTCAGTAAATAGTTTTTTTTTAATTGCATTGGGAAAGTATAGACTGTTTGTTGCTTTTCTTTTTAAAAGTGATGTTCCCAGTTAAAACAAGGGACCTAGCCTGCCTTACTTAAAATTAGTGGCACAATCAAAGCTTGGTTTAATATTTAATAATATCATTTTCAAACAGTACCTCCACAAGTCTTGGCAAGGTCTTGTGTCAGCTGCTTTTTTAAAGAGCCGTGTCTAGCTAAAGTCTCGCTGAGAAGTGAGGAATTGTCTGAGGTACCATAAAGCAGCGGTTCTCAAAGTGGGTCTGTGAACCCTTTCAGGGGGTCCACGGGGCCCCGTGGCTAAAACCCAGCACCCCAGCACCTCTCCTGGGGTTGAAGCCCTGACTCCCAGCACCACCCATGGGGTTGAAGCCGGGAGCAGCAAGGCTGAATTCTGGAGCCTGGAGCCCTGATGCTTCTCATGGGCCAGAAGCCCTGAGCCCATGGGCAGAGTTGGGGGACGTGGAGATGTTGCCCCACCCCAAACTACAGTGCAAGAGCAGGGCAGTCCCGGGGCACTCCACTCCCCACCCTCCACCTCCTTCTCTCCCCGCCCCCTGGCCAGGTTGGAGGCCGGAAGCCAGAGCCGGGCAGTTCAGGACAGCTGCTGCTCTGTCTGGTGCCATAGAGCAGGCAGCCACGGTGTTCCTTCATCTCCTGCTGCTGCAGGGGGTTGAATCTGCTCCTCAGTCACCTTTTCTCACGCAGCTGGTAAGAGATGCTTGGGTAGGGGGACCCGGCTCTGTGGCTGGCAGAGCCCTCGGGGAGCATCTACCACAGGGGGAGCACTCCTGGCACACAGCCTCTAGCTACCTCCCTGCCCACACACAGCCCCTAGCTATCTCTCTCCCTGCACCCTGAGATGCCCCCCTTCCCTCACTCAACCCCTAACTACCCCTTGAGCTGTTTTCAAACTTTTTGAGCTGAGCTTCCCCACCTTTGAGTTATAATTTTTTATTGTGCCATGCCCCTCCCACCCCACAACCCAGACGGGGTTGGCCTGCTGAGGTAAGTCAGGGGGTGGAGGTGGCACTACCTCCCCAGACCCCGCCGAGCGGAACGTGTTCAACGCCTGCTGGCCCCTGCCCACCCAAAATAGAAGTCAAACTGCACCTATGCCCAAGGCGCTCCCCGCCCCCCCAAGGCCCTGGAGTTTTTGTAGCATGTTCTGGGGGGCCCTCAAAAAGAAAAAGGTTAACAACCCCTGCCATAAGGTGTGGTCTATAATCTTGTGTGGAAAAGTAATTCTTGGTGTAGCTTTCTTTACAGGGATGGCCTGTGTCCTCTATCCGGCCCCCTTTCTGCTTCTCTTTCACTCTCCGACAATGGAATCCATATATGTGGTTGCTTTTGTTACCAGCCCTGCCATTGCTCCACAGTATATCCTTTGTTTCACTTGCTATTCTTCCCTCTTGGGTGTGATAAGTTGACAGGGATAGCTTTGCAATTGAAATATTTGTGTTATGGATTTAATGACTATAGGCAAGTTTGTAACTCATCCTAATCCCCTACGCAGGGAAGTGAGGGGGCTGTGTCACAGGTAGCAGTGAAGGAAAGAGAGAAACCTCTGCAGGGTAGGGTGACCAGATGTCCCAATATTATCGGGACCATCACAATATTAGGGGCTTTGTCTTGTATACATAACTGTACCCGCTGGAAAAAAAAGTGTCCTGATTTTTCACACTTGCTATCTGGTCACCCCACTGTGGGCCTCTAACCCCTTCTTGTGCAGGGGCAGGGCATGAATGGAGTCTTGTCTCTGAGCTTGCCAGGAAAACTGAGCTGGTATGGCAATAGAACAAGATATAGGGCTAGCACAGGTTGTTTTCCTTCTTGCTCCACCTTGAAACAAGGAGGGAATCAGGATCCAAGCGGTGACTGAGTCACAATTTAGTTCCTGGCCTAAGGCAGCGCAACTTTGTACTGCCCCTTAGTCGGGGCTTATGGCATGCCTCAGTTGAACCCCCATAGTATTTTAAAGACACATTCATGTGAGTATGTAGGCCCCAATGTGCTAGGCCATTCAGAGAACGTAGAAAAGACATGGTCCCACTTCTGAAATGCTTACAGTCTAAGCTCACAGTTGTATAGCGTGTGCATGTGCTTAATTTCACTCAGATGAGTAGTTCTTTTAAAGTCAGTGGGACTGTTCACACGGATAAACACTTGCAAAAAGGTTGCAATTAAGATTATGGGGTGGCTTATTCATGTACATACACATCTTTTTGGTTCTACTGCATTTTAAAAATGAAATTTTGGGAGGTGGAGCAGGGATGGAGTACACAGCTGCAGCATTGGAACTACACCACTGTAGCACTTCAGTGTAGACACTTCTTGCGCCAACAGAAGAATTCTTCTATCGACCTAGCGCTGTCTACACCAGGGGTTAGGTCGGCTTAACTATATCACTCAAGGGTGTGGATTTTCGAGGTAGCTAGGTCGAGCTAATTTTTTATGTACACCGTGCCTCATTCTAGAGCCACTGAAGTGTGAACAGCATGTTCCTGTCCTGTATGCAATCCCTGGAGTGTTTAGGCAAGTCATTACTAGAGCAACTGTGTAACAGGAGTATTAATTCTAAAACGTTTAAAATCTCTTGAGGGAAAAGCATAATTTTAAAGCAGCTACAGTTTAGAAAATGACTAATTTCTGTTGAGTTTTGATATTTAAGTTTACTTTGGAAACATTTTCTCTCCCATATCCATCTATCATCATAGTTTGTGACATAGATATCCTTGGTTTGTGCAGTTCTCAATTAACTTTTCTATATTTTATACTGTGTTAAATAATTTAGTTTAGAAATGGTGAGTAACTCAGAGTTATCCTCCTATCTTACATGAAACCACAATCATAATTCATTAAGTTACATTTCCAAGAAGAAAGAGTTGCATCATTCTTCAGATTGGCCCCTATGAGATTTTCCTGGTTTCCATAAAATAGTATGTTTAAAAGATATTGCAGGTTGTTTTTATATTGCTCACACACTGCAACATCAAACAATAATAATAATAACTCTATTAGCCTGCTAAAATTATTCTGAACCACAGGTTACTGTTTTATCTCCATAGGCTAAACATTTTTTTCTTTAATACCATGCCATGCTCAGTGCTGCAAAATAAAAAGCCACTATGACTCCTTCTCCTTATCAGATTTCATAACAGTAAATCAGAAGTAGTTGAGTGAACCAGAGCCGAGAGTTCATATAGGCAAAGCCTTTCCATAATAACTGAACAGAAACATATGCTGTAGTGTGAAGTTCTATGCTATATTTATAGCACATTAGTAATGTTTTAATCTTATTTATTGATTTTTTTCCATAAACATAAAAGATTAAATATATAGTATATAGATGTAGGAGGGAAGTACAGTATATACATAGAACATAAAATATTTATAATATATGACTATGTAAGGGAAGAAATGGTATTAAGTACAATAATGAGGGGCATAGAGAAGGTACATTGGGTGCTCCTATTTACCTTTTCTAATGAACAAGAAGCATTCAATTAAATTGAAGGCAACAAATTTAAAACCCAATTAAAGTAAATATTTCTCACAACACATAATTAACTCAAGGAACTCGTTGCAACAAAGATAGCTTGAGGACAAATATAAAATATATAGAGATAGAACATCCATAGTTATTTTTAGTAGGATTTTAAAAAAATAATTTAGAAGAGAGAAAACATTGATTGGAAGTAGGAAGAAATTTCTTCAGTAGGTAGTACCTTTCCATTACAAGGTTTCTTGCACCTTCTTTTGAAGCTGCTGAAAGAGAGAAGATTCTGAGATAAATAGACCACTGTGCTGATTGTCTGGGAAATTCCTGTACTTTTGTTAACACAATAAATGTAAAATTATGACAGAATGATATATGCTAAGTCAAAGACTAGCTGGAAACTTAAAATAAGCTGGAGATAACACTAACCAGATGGTACTAGTATAATTTAGTCAAACATCCATGCTATAAGCAAATAGACAAATATTTTAAATTTAGATGACCCCCAAATTAATGGTTACCCCAAAGAATTTACATTTACAGATTTAAAAAAAAAATCCTAAATTCTCTAGTCTGACCACCTGCATACCACAGGTCATGGTGTTTCCCTGTATTGACTTGGCCCCCATTGTGCCCCATTCCTCTAAAAGTACCCACACAGATCACCATCCATCCCGGATTTGGGCCATAGTGTTTAGTATTTTCTACCCAATAAGCTTGACTGAACTTGTCTGTTGTGAAAGTAGAAACATATCTTTATTACACTGACACATACACACCGATGCGTGCTCCTTTAGATATGTTTTCACTTATCATTTACTAAATCTTCATTTACATTTTCCTCATGTTATCTATCCACATATACTTGTTATCTTATTTAGGACAATCGGTATGTACCCAAAAAACAATAATTTACCATCTTGGGCAGCTAGGCTCTATGGTCAGAATTTTCAAAAATTAGGTACCTGAAGTTAGATGGCTAAATAAATTTTCAGAGGTTCGACTCCAGTTGAAGTCTATAGGAAATGCAAGTGTTCATCACCTCTGAAACTCATACCCCACCTCTAGAAAGATTTGGTTCTGTTTGTGTTATTGAACAAATGTCTGGTGTTGGGTCAGAACACTTTTAACACGGATTTACTGTATTTTTTACTTTTTTAAAAAATTTACCGCTATTAAAAAATTAACGCTTAATGTCAGTTTAAAAGTAGAGAAGTAGTATTATTTGAAAGCATGTATTTGCATTAATATATTATAATGTATTACTTATGATGTCATCTCCCAGGAAAAGACTGTTTTCAGTCAAAATATTAATTTGAGTATTATGTTGGAATGTACTATATAATGGAGTTTATATTGGAATGCACATGCCAGCTATTGTTTAGGAAATTATATTTTTAAAGTTTAAATTAAATAACTGTATCCAACAATGACTTCTGTGTTTTGTTCAAAGCTCACATATCTGCTTTATACAGTTGAATTATTTTTACAGTTCAACATGAAAATAATCTGATTTCAGACTTGAGTCCCTTTTGGAGATTCTCTCATATGGTTTAACATTGTACATTTTATTCTGGTTTGTTGTTTTTTCTTCTAGAATATTTCAGGTTAATTTAGTTGTTTAAGTTAAGTACAAATTTGAGGACCAAATACATGTCTTAGAGAATATCAGCCTTGTTCATTCAGTACACACAATCCTTACTTGTTTGAGTAATTCAGACTCATATGAGTAGTTGCATTGACTTCAAAGGCTTTTGGACCTTTAACTTAATCTAACCCTTTCATTAGGAGAAAGGGTTACCATTGCCATACATCCATCCAAACTGCAGCACTTTGTTTATATACAGATAGACTGCTGCACATATTAAATTAATATTGATATGAGCATCAGGACTTACTGAACTTGAGAAATGAGTAATCTTGATGTCCAATGAAATAAGAAATCAGTATCTGTGTTGTTGCATGATGGAAATTCTCACTTCCTTCATGAGAAATGTCTGGAAATCTTTTCATTATGGCCATGGAAGCGAAATATGAGAGGTTACTGTTTTGAAACTAAAATTCTGAAGAGAGGAATTAAAAAGAGATCCAAAATACCACCTAGCATCCAAACCCTACTACTTATCTCATGAAAGGCAAATTTTCACATCTCACTTCAATCAGTCATAAAGAATAATTTGCACAGGATACAGGGGTGCTGGAAGAATTTTTATCGTGGGAATACTGAGAGCCATTGAACCAAACTGTAAATCCTGTATATAATAGACCCACTTCAAGCCACGGGGTGTGGCAGCACCCCCAGTACTCCTAGTTCCAGCAACTATGACATGATATCTCTTTGGTTAACATTGTTCAAGACCTCAATATTGTTGAACCTAAGGATGTTAAGAATAGTGTAACCCTTTGCCAGGTGGCGCCAGCAGCAACAGGGCCGGGTTCAGTATCTAGAGGTTCCTTTTCAACAGTAACACAAAATTGGCTCAAGCCCCCATCCAGTGACCTGGGACAATTACACACCACCCCTGGGTGCCTCTGAGAAGCAATACTTCCCCTCTTGCTAGCACAGAGTCTGAGTGTAGCAAAAGCTTTTCATAAAAGGAGGGAAGTAAGTCAGCATTAATTTGGGAAAACCCCGTAACTAGGGTTCATAAACATAAACCATGAGCAAAAGACCCACCCCCAAGTAAGTTGGGCAGTGTCCTTTTCCCCTCAGGTTCTTAAGTCCAGCAACCCAAAAGTCCCTTTAATGTGCCTATCCCTTCTCTGCACCCTACTCACAGTTGCTGTCTTTGTCCAGTGCAGCCCCAGAGTTCAGAGGTTCATTCACAGAGTTCACCTCCCACCCTGGGTGGAAAGGAGTGGGTAAGGAGGTCTTTACATGCTCCATTGTTCAGGCACTCACTCGTTGCCCCAATGGCCGATTGCCGTACCTTTCCACCAGCCGCCTGGCTGGCCACTTGCCAAGACGTCTTCAAGTCCCCACACTTAACACAGCTCTCAGTGATTTCAGCTGTTAGTGGTGGGAGTCTCACTGCTGGTGCACACTGGCCAGTCTCTTGCATCAGAGACACTGTCCCAAAGGAGGTCTAATACTTAGACCTAGGTATGAGTGATTTCAGCTCTGTAGCATGTAACAAGACTCTCAATTGAATCTAAATTAGCTCTTTTATTATACTGTGGGGCAAGGAAAAGTCAAATGGTGTCTAGGACCATTAAATAGGACCCACGGTACAAGTACCTCTCTCCCCACTCACTGGGCTTTGGAACCCATGTCTCTTGCCTAGCGAGTGCTATTCAGTTGAGGGCGAGTCCCTCCGTTGGGGTATGCCAGTACAGTTCTGCTGCCCTCAGTTCACACAACAAGGAAAACAACCTTTTATTACTCCTGCCCCAATAACAAGGAGACTGGGGATCCAACACCAGCCACAAGTGATCATTTGGGCAAGCAATCCCATCATGCTGAGCACCTAGGCAGGGTGGGTGTGTTCATGCAAACGAGATTAGCTCCTGAAGTCCTTTTCCACAGCTCACCACTAGATGTCAGGGGAGAGCTCATTCAGACTCTGCTTACATCAGAAACATATTTTCTTGCCACAGGAATGTTTTCAGCAAAACATATATCAGGCTTTTTCTTACATGTGTAACAATAGTAAATATTTTTGTTTATACATTTTGCTGAAACATAATATATCATGCATTTGTTAGGAAAGATTCTGTGTCCTATTTTGAAATTACTCCATCCAGTAATCTCAGTGTTGAGGAGGTGTTTGAAGAATATCTTCAAAAATATAAGGAGTAAAAAAAATAGGGCCGATTTTAAAAAATTAATCCTTATCTGGAGCAATCCAGCACTCTTTGCCTCTGTTTCATTTTATACTTAGAAATAATTCCTTTGAACAAAAAAAGTGACTTATAGTCTTATTAACTTTCCAGTTCTTAAAAGTTTTGAAGGTTAATATTAGAATTCTAATCTATATCATTTGCACTGTGACTTTGCACTCACTAGTCATTGTGTAGCTAATGGTAGAGAGATGTTTCGAAAATTTGGCCCAGAGTGAGATTAACAAAGGTGAAAAAATTATTCCAAATTACAACAAACTTAAAAATTTTTGATAGGGATTTTGGAGACGGATAAGAGGTATGTTCTTGTGTATGATTTGGAGTTGTGAAGATTTTCTGGAGCTTTTCCATTTTTATTGTCAGTTAGCTGAGGTAAATTGTTACTTCTGTCTGATTAATTAACGCTGCTGATGGGTGGAGTTAGCTGATTTTTATATCAGTTGTATTGCTGCTTGGTTGTTATTGTAGGCCTAATTATTGTCAATGCAGACCTAATTATTGTCCGTGCACTCAGAGCTTTTGTACAGATGTTACATTTTTTTAATGTCAAATCTAAAGAAATAAATAAAACGAAGTAAAATTGACCCCTGGATTTTAAACTGAAAGGTGAAAGTAATTTCTTTATTACAGCAGAATACAGTACAATCCACAGTCCATCAACGCCCATTAAAGATTCTGATTCAGATAGATTGCGTCGCAGTTCCGATGGAAAGTCACGTGGGCGAGGCAGAAGAAACAATAACCCTTCACCACTGCCTGACTCTGACCTGGAGGTATGTTATATACCCTGTATTTACTGTAGACTCTGCTATCTTTACAATGCTTTGAAGAGCAGGATTTATTTACAGATCAGCAATACAATGACAATATGGCAGGTGGAATATTTTCCACCTAAACTCTTTTTCAATGGAAATTGAGTTTTCAGCTAAACACATTTTTTAATGAAAAAATCTGCTTTCCATGGAAAACTTTGGTATTTTTATTAAAAAAAAAAAAATGAATGGAAACAAAAATGTTTCCCTCAAAACCAAAAATGTTTCATTTGGATATGTTGCTACAGTGCCTCATAGTATTGTAGTGGCTTCGTGTCCCCATTCTCTTTGATGGGCTGCACTCCCTGGCCAGACTATATCTCCCATGATGCATCATGGCCAGGGACTCCCAGGATCCACTAGCTCCCCTTGGCAGCAAGGAAGACGGTTGTACATCATGGGAGGTATTGTCAGTCCAGGGAGATGAAATATGTTTATTTTGGTTTTTGAATTTTTGCCAAAAGTCAAAATTTTCTTGGAAAATTTAGATAAAAACAAAATTTTGGGGAAAAATAACATTGCCAACTAGCTCTAAATGGGAAAGATGCAATTTATTGTGGGAAAGATTTTTAAAAGTGCCTAAGTCCTGTTGAAAGTGGGCTTAAACTCCTAAAGTAATAAGTGCTTTAGAAATGTAACACTTTTGTTTTAGTTTCAGCGGTCATACTGAATAGAAATTTAACAAGTCTGTTTAGTTTGAATACTATACAGAAGAAGATTCAAATCTGATAGGTTTCATTTTCAATTGCTTTATTTAATGTATTTCAGATTTTCCCCACAAGTGACTTTTGAATAATGTACTGTACTATTCTATTTTTGTTTATTTAACAATAACTATATTTATATTTTAACAGAATAATTTAGTATAGTAGTAATTGTAGTACAAAACTAGCAGATTGTTTTACTCCGTTCTGAAGCAATTTGTTAGTTTTTCTGAAAATAGTAAGGAAACCATCATGTTAGTATGTGACCATTTCAGTAAAGTTTTCTTATTTGTACACTTATTGATTCAAGTATCAACTTTACAGAGGGACACATTGATTTGGTTCTTTTTTTACAGAGAGTATTCATTTGGGATTTGGATGAGACAATCATCGTTTTTCATTCCTTGCTTACAGGGTCCTATGCTAACAGATATGGGAGGGTAAGTGTCAAGGAACTAATTTACCATAATGTGCTGCTGCATAGGTGTTTTGTTCCACAGAAAGGACTGGTATGTTAAGGGAATGTCACGAGAAACAAACTAATGTTGAAGTATAGGTAGGTAGAAAGACTAAGAGAGAGAGGGCTTTTCTCACCTCCATTTCTTCCCTACCTTCTATAAGAGAAAAATTACATTATTGGAAGCAATAATTGCGCCATTTAAAGGTTTGATTATAGGGGCTGCTGAGTGTCTGTAGCTCCCATTGGCTTTTTTCTGAGTGCATGTCTTCACTACGGGGTAAGTTGAACTAAGTTACTCTAGTCGACATTGCTTAGGTCAACTTACCCCGATGTCTTCACCACGCTGCATCGATGGGAGACGCTCTCCAGTCGATTTACCTTACTCTTATCGGGAAGCTGGAGTACCGGAGTCAACCGGGTAGCGCCCTGCTGTCGATTTAGTGGGTCTTGACCCGCTAAATCAACACCAGCAGAATCGTTTGCAGCAGCGTCTATCTCCGCGGTGGTGAAGACAAGCCCTGAGTGACAAAGGCTCAGCTCCTCTCAGGAAGTGCTCAGTGACTTGTGGGATAAGGTATTGCATTTCCTTTTGGTACACTAATAATGAAATAGTACATTTGAATGCCTCAAATAGGCTATAAGTGAGGAAAAATTACTTTTGTGTCTGGGACAGATTAGTGTAATATTTTTGTCCACACTTCAATTTTTATTTTAGTGTTAATTGTTAATTTTTAAGTGTCTGCTTGTGAGTTTAACCTTGCTGCTATTCATGTCCTAAAAAGTGTAGGAGGAGTTTTGAATGTTATTTTGGAATAGTGGTTTCACAATCACTTGCCACAAGAGAAATGCAGTTGTAAAGTGAATGAAAGCAGTTTGTGAATTGATGTGTCCTAGGAAAAAATTTCACAATTCTCTGTTTTTATAAAACAAAATGACTTGCAATTGAAGTCTGATCTGTTTCTTGTTTGATTTAAATCTGTCTTGTTACAGGCCAGATTGATTGTATTATCTGTTTTTTAAAAAATCACATTAATTGCTTGTGTGTAGTTAAGGAATTCTCATGTTTGACTTTGGAAAATTTTTGGAAGTAATAAGTGAACGAATAGATAGTCTAGTAGCTTGCAGCATACTGCACACAGGTTACAATCCATTTTATAAGATTTATAAAATCAAAAGATGACCAACTTGGAATCCATTGCTACTGAAATAAAGCTCTTAAGTTATAATTCTATATCAGTTTTTCATCTTCGAGTGCTTGCTCATGTCCATTCCATGCTACGTGTGTGCACGCCATGGGCACTGTTGCCAGAGATTTTTCCCTTAGTGGCATCCATAGGAATCACATGCATATGTGCTGCTATAAGGGGTGCCACTGGCCCTGCACCTTCTCAGTTCCTTCTTACCGCCTGTGACGGTTGCTGGAACGATCCTTCTTGTTGTGGCAAGGCCTCTTGAGTGTAGTTATTGTAGTTAATCTACATAGTTCTTAGTTAGAGTTAGTATTTATAGAAGCGTAAATAGTCGTCCCTATCGTCAAGACACTTGTCACTCCAGGGGCTGGGCATGCCCATGTCCTCGGGCTTAAAGCCGTGTGCCTCTTGCAGCAAGCTAATGCCAGTGAGTGACCCGCACTCTCGATGTCTAAAGTGCCTGGGGGAATCACATGTTAAAGGTAAGTGCCAGATCTGCAGGGACTTCGGACCCCACGCTAGGAAAGACAAGGACATTCAGTTTCCCATTCACATGCAATTCACCTCGTTGTGACAGCATTGACCTCGTGGTGACAGCGTCTCCTGGGAAACTGAAACATACTGGCAGATCACCTCAACAGAGCCTTTTCCTCTTGCCACAATTCGTTTCTTCACCCAGAGGTCATCTTCTAGATGGACCTATTCACCACCAGACAAAACAGGAAATGTCATCACTACTGTGTTTGCTGTGCAGGCACAGCACAGTTTCCCTCTCTGATGCCTTCCTGCTCTCCTGGGCAGACCACCTACTGTATGTCTTTCCTCCAATCCCCTTGGTTCACAAGGTTCTTCTAAAAATCAAATGAAACAAGGCAAGGGTTATACTGATAGCACTGGCGTGGCCATGCCAGTGTTGGTTTGGCACGCTTCTGGACTTCTCAGTGGCAGCGCCACTCGCACTGCCACTCCACCCGGACTTGATCTCACAAGACCCCGGCCCATTGCTTCACCCAAACCTTGGCTCCCTACATCCGACTGCATGGATGCTGCGTGGCTGAACCCTGAGGAACAGGTTTGCTCGAATCAGGTTCAACAGGTCTTGCTGAGGAGTAGAAAGCCTTCCACCCGGGCTACTTACTTGGCCAAGTGGAAATGTTTCACTTGTTGGGCCTCTGAACAGAATCTTTCTCCATCCAGATCTCCTCTGCAATCTATGTTGGACTATCTGCTCCACCTAAAGTAGCCAAGATCTCTATTAAGGTTCATTTGGCAGCCATCTCAGCCTTCCACCCTCCAGTGAATGGCAGATCAGTGTTCTCCCAGCAGATAAACATCCAGTTTCTCAGGAGGCTGGAAAGACTCTATCCTAAGGTTCGTGAGCTGTCCCCACCCCTTTGGGACTCAAACCTGTTCTTATCAAGGCTCATGGGCCCCCCTTCAAGCCGTTAGCATTGTGCTCCCTACAGCTTCTCTCCTGGAAGGCTGCCTTCCTGGTGTCTATCATGAAGGCCAGAAGGGTTTCTGAGATCAAAGCCCTTACATCGGAACCTTCTTACACGGTGTTCTTCAAGGACAAAGTCCAACTACGCCCCCATCTGGCCTGTCTACCAAAGGTGGTGTCACAATTCCACACAACCAGATCATTTTTCTACCTGTCTTCTTCCCAAAGTCTCAAAAGTCCGCTGAAGAACGTCGGCTTCATACGTTGGACGTTAGGCAGGCCCTCGCCTTTTATATTGAGAGAACTAAGCCCTTCCACAAATCCACGCAACTCATTGTAGCAATAGCGGAAAGGATGAGAGGGCTACCTCGGTCATCCCAAAGAAGCTCTTCCTGGATAACTGCCTCTATTCAGGCTTGCTATGAGCAGGCAAATGTCCCAACTCCAGCCATTGTTACCACTTATTCCACAAGAGCCTAGGCTTCATCAGCCGTATTCCTCCTGCAAGTACCAGTCCAGGATATCTGCAGAGCTGCAACCTGATCATTGGTTCATTCCTTAGCCTTCCACTAAGGCATCATCCAACAGGGCCAAGACAATGCCCATGTTGGGAGAGCAGTGTTGCAGTCAGCACATCCAAGAACTCTGAGCCTACTTCTGGGGCACTGCTTGTGAGTCTCCTAGCATTGAATGGACATGAGCAAGCACTCGAAGAAGAAAAATGAAGAATGGGTTACTAACCTTTTGTAACTGTTTTTATTTGAGATGAGTTGTTCATATCTATTCCATGACCTACCCTCCTACCCCTCTGTCAAAGTTACTGTCAAGAAGGAACTGAGATGGTGTGGGGCTGGCGGTAACCCTTATACCAGCGCATATGGGCACAACTGCAGAGGGCACTAGAGCTGGTCCTATGGATACCACTAAGATAAAAATCTCCAGCAGTTGTGCACACATCGTGCGCACACCTAGCATGGAATGGACATGAGCAACACATCTCAAAGAACAATTAGTAATTGTTTTTTTTATTATGTGAAAAGGTTAGCATAGGATTGTCAAACACTACTTTTCTGTTTACTGGTTTACTCTTCTGTCAACTGGTTTACTATGTTAATAAATCCTCATTTTTGCTAATTATAAGTAAAATTGGCTGATTTATTCTAAGATATATAAAATTGTTCTTAATCATTGGAATCTACTTGTTTATTAGTCACAGTGAGTAACACACATTCAAAAAAATAGTCTTGTTGACTACAAGTGCTACTCAATGTGAGCAATGTTTATATAATCAAACCCTATAGTTTCAGTGATGATGCCTAAATTTTATCAAAACTATTTGTTTGATTTCGCATGCCAATCTTGTATTTAGGTGTCAGCCCAAAATGATTGAACCCTAAATTCTCCTGACAAAAACTGTAGGTTAATAATTTTATAATGAATTATGATGTTTGATTCCTGACTTATTATTTTGTAGCAATTTGACATAAACACATACTGTAGGTAGCTGAATATGCAAGTTAAAAAGAGATGAGTGACACATGATAGCACTTCAGTCACTATAGAAACCAGTTACTTGAGACGTAGCTTAGTTGAACTACTGATGCGTATGTGACAGAATGTGTCTACCATTTAGTAAATACACACTAGATCTCATTGGCACATTGCAGAATTAGGCCATGTTAAAGCAACATGCATTACAACAAGTTTAGAGTTTATTCCACCTTCTTTGGATGTTACCTGTGGGAACAAAGCATGCTTGATATTAGAAGGAACCGTTGTAACGAAAGTAATGGGAAGAAGATGGTGATTCGAGGTAGCCTGTGCTTTGGAAGAGAATATTGGAACATCTTAGAATAAGCAGGGTGTGTACATGGCTTGCAGGTTCCAGCTTTAATAGTAAAATGTGCACTTTAGATTCACGTGTGCTTTGTTATGTTACATTAGCCCCACAAGTTCTTCACAATTTAAACTGTTATAGGAAAAATATTAACTGATTTCCATGGACTTTGGATCACAACCAAAGTGCTGTCAAACGCACAACAGTGAACAAACTGGAAAAAATAGGGGAAAATACTTTTCCCTCTTGTATAGTAATCTTAGGGGCTTCTTGTGACAGTAATGGGTACATAATTTTTAGATAGAAATCTGATTTTCCCAGTTGATGGTGTCTTTAAGTTTTCTGACATCAGTATTACCAGTCCCAACTGTTAAAAACATCATAATCCAGGTCCAAAAATAATGAGATTTTAATATTTTTTTGTTTATTTGCTTTCTGGTTTTTAAGCCTTGAGGATTCCCATTTTCAAGCTTTTATCCACAACCAGGAGAGTTAGAAACTTAATTTTAATGGAATCTGAGGTTCTCACATAACCAATGCACTGGAGGAGCTGGATCTTAAGGAAAGCATTAAATATAGTGAGAAATGGCAACACTGTAACATGTCTGTTCCCTCTTGATCCACTTTTCTAATGCCTGAGTGAGCTCTTCTTGAGGATTCCTGTGACTAGGACAGGAACTGTTGCTGAACAGATAATATATTATTTTTCTTGGTCTCTACCTCTCTCCTACTATTTTTCTTCTGTTTTTTGCTCCCCTTTTCCATTTGCTCTCCCTTCATCTTTTCCGTTTGTCACCTTCTCAGTTTATCTTTTTGTTACTTTGTTTTCTCCTCTGTCCCTCAGATGTTGTTTATGAGCAAAATCATAAACATGCTCTAGTGTTAGCATTTAAACTGGAAGACTGGGACATTTTTCTTCCCAATTGAAATAAATGTTGCTATTTCCAAAAATAGCTGTCTGAAATGAGTATAATAATACAAATGTATTAACTAAAAAAATATTCTTGGAACAACAGTATGTTGTAATTTGCTCTTAGGCAAAAACTAAGTGTAAAAGAGAAAGGGAGATCTGTCTGCCCCGACGCTTGTGGTTAACAGTTATTTTAATTGACATTGGAGCTGCTAGCATCCACATAAACCTGATGTTTTGAGCCAGCTGCCTACTGAATGGGTCCTGGAAACTGGGAAGAAGTCGATGCCCCATGTATAGTATTGATAATTTGAGACAGGTGGATATACGGTTGGAATGGCACTGGAAATGCTGTGACCCTTATGTATTTCTATTTTCTGTGCAAACTTTTACATTAGATACTTTAAGGAGATAGTCTTTTACGTATTTTGTGTGTGTGTGTTGGGGGCGGGGGGTGTTATATATTTTAAAGATTTAAGGAAAACAAAAATCTTGTTTCACTTAAGCCTTCAATTGTTACCAGTCAGCCTAAGTAGAAAATAAGCAAAGCTGTGTAATCAGAGTGATCTTTCCTGTTTTTCAGCTTCTTATTTTTCCCCTGACAAAGGCATCAAATGGGTAGAAATTGCAAATGACATATATACAATGTTTGTGGCTCTGATGCCAGTATTCAAAAGAAAAGGCCTGTTTAACAGATTCGACAGTGGTATTTCTTCTTTCAACTAAGTGGTTTATTTCTCTGAGATTTGCACCTGATTTTGGCCATTCCTTAAAAGATGCTCACATTGAACTGCAAATCCTAATAAATGAGAACAGATCGTTAGCCTCTTTTCATTGTGTTACATCTCACAGTAATTGCCTTGCAATTAATAGCTTTAAATTCCAAAAGAGGGCTCGGCATCATATATTATTCTGGCCTTATCTAGCTTTGTCATCTTTAGGTTTTAGCCACCATTGTAACTAATCAAAGTACACACTGCACTGCTGTAAGCCACCCTGGGTTGACGCGCACGTCCTGTTTTTTGTTGGTGCAGTTACATCAGTGCAGCTACAGTGGTGGCTAAAACCCTAATATAGAGAAGTCCTTATAGCCCACTAAATGTGGTATCCAAGGCAGCAGTCTAAGTGTAGTTTTAGGCACAACCAACCCTTCTAATCAAGTATTTGGTGTTTAATCAAAGATTTATGTTTTATTTTAAAAGTAACCTGTTTTGCTTCATGTCATGCGTTTATGGGATTTGATGTGATATTTTTTCTAGTTAAATTAACAATGTAGCTTGAGAGAAAACCCCTCTCTGTTGTGTGTAATAGTTTAAAATATCAGAGGGGTAGCCGTGTTAGTCTGAATCTGTAAAAAGCAACAGAGGGTCCTGTGGCACTTTTAAGTTCTTACCCACGAAAGCTTATGCTCCCAATACTTCTGTTAGTCTTAAAGGTGCCACAGGACCCTCTGTTGCTTTTTATAGTTTAAAATAACATTTGAGCTAAATGGTCCACATCATGCAATTTAAAAATATACCTATTCTGACTCAAGTGTGTGTTTTTAAAAAAGTTGTTAAAATTAATCATTCACAAAATCAACTTTTCTTTACAATATTCTTTAGAGACCCTTTTTTAAAAAGTTTTGATTGTGACATTGTAACAACTATGGAGAGCCAGTATCTCTCATTGTTTTCCCAAATAACGTGCAAGGTCGCGAATGGGCATGAGCATAACATTTGAATGGGACTGGTTCAGTTATCTGGTGGTGGTAGGCGGTGGTGGTGTTTTATTATTGAAGTGCCATAGTGCTGCTTGGCGTTAGTGATCTGTACTGTCGTGTGGGAGTCCAGTGTCAGGTGCATAGTTCCAGTGTCCCAGCTCCCTAGGTTGGCAGGAGCTGGGAGTTCTGTGGGGCTAGAACAGTCAGCCCTTAGAAGGAGGGAGTGTTTTACTTCATTGAACAGCAATCCCTGCAACTGAAATAAGAAATGATACCGATGAACTATAAAGGATGCTGAGATAACTGTCCACAAAGATGGCATGTGTGGTGAGAAGGAAAGCCATCCTTAGGGCTTCTACGAGAATATAGACCCTTCCTAACTCCTTACATACACACATCCCTTCCAGGAAAATAAAATAAAACTTAGTTCTGTGAAAGTACCAGCATTACAAAAGAGGAAAAACAGTAGTTTGATTCATACTTTAAAGCAAGCAGATGAATCTTCACATTTGCGGTACGAATCAAAATGTTCTCTTCTGAAATTTTTGTTGATGCAAAATATAAATACAAGACTGATTTGTAAGGGCAAAGTGCTTAATATTGCCAACAAACTGGCATGATGCAGTTGTAGCAATACACTAAAATCCTCTTTTATAGGGGTTCAGAAGTATTTATTTAACTTAGAAAAATGCTCACTTTTTATTGTGTGTCAACTTGTTGGTGAATTGTATAAAAAATTTTCTCTGTGTGTTAGAGCTTTATTATTTGGACATCTGCATGTCTAAATGCTTCTTTGCAAAATATTCTTTCAGAATAGCTTTGATTTCATTTTCTGTTCTCTGGAAATGTCAGACTAAGCTGCCAAATTAACAGATCTTTTTTCCAATAATGTTTTTTGCCAATAATGCTTAGTGTCTTGTGACAGACAAATGTTTGGGAATTTCAGAAATCTTGTTGAAAAACCTATTAATTTGATTGATATAGGAAAAAACTGGAGGCTAAACCTATTAAAGTTCCCATTTTGAGTTGTCGTCAGTTGTAGAATCTAAGCAGATTTAAGAAAAAACGAGAAGTGTTCCTGCAATCCAGTTTTTATTATAAAATGTAATTCCTGATGAACTAATGTTTGGTTAATTGATTGTGTCGTGAAGCACTATAATTCTCTTTCAAGGTTGTATTTTGTATGCTCTAGGATATTCTTGAGAAAGCATTTTAAGTGACAGAGGGGTAGCCGTGTTAGTCTGAATCTGTAAAAAGCAACAGAGGGTCCTGTGGCACCTTTAAGACTAACAGAAGTATTGGGAGCATAAGCTTTCGTGGGTAAGAACTTAACTTCTTCAAATGCAAGACTTTGAAGAAGTGAGGTTCTTACCCACGAAAGCTTATGCTCCCAATACTTCTGTTAGTCTTAAAGGTGCCACAGGACCCTCTGTTGCATTTTAAGCGAGGGAATGTACATCAAATAAATATATTAGACTCTTATTTCAATTTTCAGATAGAAAATATATAAAACACATACAAATCAAAACAGGACAAACATCTGTAATGCATTTGGTAACCACAATGCTGAACACACTTCTTGAGTTTATTAACTCAGTAAGGAGTAAGTTGTTATGGTAATTTCTGCAGAGAATTTAGTGTGTTCTATATTAATAACAAACAATAGATTTGTTCATTCTGCATGGGTGGGCTATATTTAAAGAATAATTAAAGCACAATTTTGCAGAGAATTAAGGAGTTATTTTATATGTTATTGCTGTTTCTAAATTAAACATTAATGGTGATTTATTAAAGGCAATAGTTAGGCTAATGACCAAATCCTCTTACTCAGGGGAGTTTGCTTAAGTGAGGACTGTATTAACTGTGAGGTTGTTTTAAATCTGTGCACAGTACTTAAATCTTGGAGCACAGGGGAGGTCCCAATCCTGCAATTGGAACAGCATAAGTGGATCCCTTCTATCTATTCAGAGCTCCATTGAAGGCAGTGAAGTTCTGCATGGGTGAAGGGGTTTGCCCAGTTGGAGAATCAGGGTTTTCATTATCAACAGATTTAAAGTGTCCTTTAAAATGTTGACATATTGAGATACTGTGGTGCAAGGTTTTAGGGGAGCCCAACTTTAACTATGTAGGCAGACCCATCAGTTGATATCTTCAGTATTCTCTGCTTCTGAGGAATATTTCTTCTAGCATATGAAGTATGCATGTTATTGACTATATTTTGTCATTTCTTCTTTGAGGATCCACCTACTTCAGTTTCACTTGGACTACGGATGGAGGAGATGATATTCAATTTGGCAGACACACATCTGTTCTTCAATGATTTAGAAGTAAGTACTGATTGTTTATTTACACCGAGCAGTTATTTAACATTTGTTTCATATTGCATGATAGCAAATAGCTCGAAAGTCTGGTTTGGTATAACAACTTTAAAATGCAAATGTTAGAGTACATATATTTTAAAAATCTCCAACAGTTTTTGTTACCCCGAAATACAATGCTTTTATTTAATGTAAAGAGTATTTTGTGCCATCAAAGGTGCAATTTTAGATTATTCAACTATTGTATATATGATCATGATTGACCAGCTTTAGAAGTGGATACACCAAAACCATCTATAAACATTAGAATTCAATAGTCTGTACAGGCCATTAAATATTAAACTTCAGCTTCTATAAACAGTCAATAGCTGGGTGCAGATTTCTCAGTTACATCCCACTGTAGGAAATATTACCCTAGAACCCAAGGGAAATCATTAATGTTGCATATGCTGTCAATCTCAGAGGCTTATTACAGTGGATCTTCTGCCTTCCGCAGTGGCAGGTACAATTTGTTGCATACTGTACTAGGATTTCTTTGTTAGATATGCCTCTCTTGTGTGGCATGCTGTGAGTACTTGGTGTCATCGTTCCAAGGGCTTTCTCAGCCTCTCTGGGCTGTGGATTTGGGATTCTTGTGAGATCATTCTAAAAACTATCTGGATTGCTGATAGCGACTGTCACCATGATGTGTGGCAGTTTCATCTTAAAACGGAAAAAGTGATTTCTGTTCCTATTTTCATAACAAGAAAACATGAAAATAGTCAGATTTGTTTTCCATCATCATAAAGACAGCCGTTTATTTAAAATCCCACTGTTGAGCAAGCTTGTGGTTGGACTGCCAACGGGCATTAATCATCAAGTTGTTGTTTTGCTAGATTTTAGGAATGTGTGTTATTCCAGACAGGCAAAAGAATCTTAAAAGATTCAAATGTAACTTTTGCTGATCAAAGTTAATTGGCATCAATTGGCCTTTAAATATTTCCTGATGTTTCCTTTTTCAAAATCAACAAAATACACCTTATTTAATAGATGAGCCAAAATCATTTGAAAAATGCCAGTGTGTGACAGATCTTAAATGTGGTTTGTACAACATCTGTCCCTTGTTTTGATTTCTTTTCATCTGAGAAGAAACTACTCACAGACGAATTGGCAACTTACAGTGTAATAAAATTATTTAAATGTGCTTTATTTTTTCTTCCATTCCTTAGTGAAGTATTTATTTTTACACTTACAGTAAAACATGAGCTTTCTTGCATTCAAAACGTGTTTTTTTTTTCATTAAGGAAGCTGCATATAAAGACATTATTGGTTTTGATTTAAAAAAATGGCATTAGTGAATGTCATGTGTAGAACTGATTTTTCAGACTTTAGAAGAGCATAACAAGACAAGCTACTTACTTTCCAAATCTGTTTCTGATTTACAGTTACATTTCATTTTATCCAGAGCGGCAAAAGATAGTATCAAATCTTAACAGTGTGCTTAATAAAGTTTGCACTGTGTTTTCATTTGCTTTGCACAACCAAATACGGGTCCTGTAGCCATCCCTTGATACTTGAATTTAAGTGCCATTGGCGTGTATAAGAGTTAATCACATACATCCTGGGGATAATTGGCATGTTACAGCCTTAACATTACAAAATAGTCTTTTTTAATCATTCATTAACCCTTGAAGCAGACTGTACATTTGAAGAAATACTGGCCCAGATCCTCAGCCAAGGCCAAGAACCTCACAGAGCACCTTGGCCATCTTTGCATTCTCCCAATATTGTGCCAATTGTCTGGTGTTCCCAGCATATGCCAGAGCAATCCAAATGCAGGGGGATTCTTAAATACAACTGTACATGGTTCATATTTGGTGACGTTTAAATACTTAGGGCCAGATTCTATCCTGTAGTTCATGGGTGCTCTGAGAAGAAGGAAACAAGGTGTTGGCAGCCCCTCCTTGTCTGCCATCACAGCCACTTGGCAGCATCGCAGCCTTTTAAGTCAGGGACTGTCTCTTATTCTGTTGCACAGTGCTTAGCACACTGGGTTCCAGGCACTGCTGTAATAATAGCAGCATTCCAGAGATCACTGGTTGTGGAGGCTGGAGAAGGAAATTTCTACTGCACCTACTAGTGCTCCACAGTCCTGGTAAAGCGTGGTGTGACTCTGTCTCTTAGCATATTGTACACACTGAAGAATATATGCTCATCAGGGATGTAGATTAGTATGTATTACCTTTGCTGGAATAGGGTTATGGTTATAGTCGTTGAGTCATTGTTTGAGAAGTGCAAACTTAACTCCTGATTACTTGGTTTCACAACATTTAGTTGGTTATTTTAACTCGGGTGTTCTTGGGAGGTAATGTACTCCCAAATCACAGACACATGCCCATAACCTTAACTCCTTTTAGCAAAGATTTGATCTGGGGATATCCCAGGTTTTTTTAATAGTCGTAACATGAGACTGAGGTGAACATGGTGCCTGGGGGCCATTCTTCCCTCCCCTGCCTTGTGAGATCTGCAGGGGCAAAGCCTCACTCTTGTATATCTTCTAAGATCCAAAGGAGTAGAGACCATCTCCTGCAGCCCTTGGAAGGTACACAGAAGGGAGGATACCCTCTTGTGGACCATAAGAGATGTGTAGAGAAGTGAGGAAAGGGAGAGCAAGAGGGTTGTGAGGGGACAGCACATCTGGATATTTCCTTCAACCCGTAGATCTTCTGATAGACACATTAGGAGAAAATTCAGTTTTATTACAATACTCCCTAATGATCACTTTACATTATGAGTTCTATCTGCGAAGAAAGGGGCTAGGGTTGAGATTTTCAAAGGCAACTGAGAGATGTAGACAACTTCCATTGGGAAGCTCTGGATGACTTGGAAAATTTCAACCTAGAATTTTGTGGCAGTGTAAATAGCCAGCAGTCATTTCATGGTCTGTTTTAAGTTCATTGGAGCCATTAAGACATCCTGATATTAATAAAATTTAGTAACTTTCAGATCTACAGTTTATTCAACTAATTCTTGGTTCTGTGCACTAGAGCACAGCTATATGAGCCTAAAAAGCAATTTTAACCTATCTTGTTTTTGTTCGTTTTGTTTTGTTACAAGCTGTTTTTAAAAAAATAAACTTTTTGAACTCTGGTGACGGTCTCAGGCTTTAGGATGTGATAATTTATTAATCTTATGATGTTTAAATCAAACTTGGTAAAAAATAATTCTGCCCTGCCACTGGCCTAATTTATTAGCTTAAAGGCCAAAATTGCTGTATCTGTGGCTTTTAGGAGAATCAAAATTGGGTTTATAATGGAAGTGTAGTTCCAACCTTAACTTTGCAGTGGTTCCTGTGTTTTAGAATTTTTTAATTGTAATAAAAGTAATAGAATGGTGGGTTTCACTTTTTGTTGTTTTTATTAGAGTAATAAAATCAATATAAGATATAATTGTAAATCTTGAAGGATCACTCTCAAATTCTTATATAGTACGTTGAATGAGACTGATAAGTATTTTAATATACTAAAAGAGAGGCATAAATATTTGCAAATGTATAATTAAAATACATACAGTAGACTTGGCAGATCTATTGGTTGAACTATAATTTTTTAAATTAGATTATGAAACTATAATATATACATAGCTCAAACAGAAGTAGAAATTAAGGACCATATTTTCAACACATAGTCTTCTAAGGGAACATCTACACAGCAAAAAATCCCCTATGGCAGCAAGTCTCGGAGCCCAGGTTTTGTTTTGTTTTGTTTTTTGTTTTTGCTCTGTAGATATACCGTGAATCTATGTTTAGGCACCTAAATAAGTGGCCTCGTTTTGAAGAGTGAGCATCAGTGAGAGTTAGTTCCTAAATGCAGGCTTAGAAGACATTATCATTATGTAACTGCGGAACTATATGTATTGGCATAATGTTCTCAAGAGAACCAGAATTATCTCACCAGACAAGAATGATGTAGTAATGCCTGAATTCATGCTACAATTAGCACTATGTTGTGGTAGGGGACATAAAATATTATGTTTTAATCACTTCTTTTACACTTTTTAGCATTTTAGAGTCTCTGCTACAAGTATTTTTAAGGAAGTTAGCCAATTGATGACTAGATTAAAATGTGATATCCACCCGTCACAACTTTTAACATTTGTCCTGCTGACTACCTTTAAAAATTAGTTCTTCTATTTCTGTGGCAAATTACCTGACCTTTATAATTAGGTACATTGTAGAAAGAACTATTGGTTACATCTATTGTATATATTTATACTAGTGATTAAGACTAAGGTTTGCAAGGTATTAAACTAGATTTCATTGGTCCTAGTACAGTAACTCCTCGCTTAACGCTGTAGTTATGTTCCTGAAAAATGCAACTTTAAGCAAAACAATGTTAAGTGAATCCAATTTCCCCATAAGAATTTATGTAAATAGGGGGGATTAGGTTCCAGGGAAAAATTTTTCGCCAAACAAAAGACTATATTTTATATATATACACACAATATAAGTTTTAAACAAACAATTTAATACTGTACACAGCAATGATGATTGTAAAGTTTGGTTGAGGTGGTGAAGTCAGAGGGTGGGATATTTCCCCGGGAATGCCTTATTGCTAAATGGTGAACTAGCACTCAGGTGAGCCCTCAAGGGTTAACACATTGTTGTTAATGTAGCCTCACACTCTACGAGGCAGCACAAATGGAGGGAGGGGAGACAGCACGGCAGACAGAAACAGAGGCCACGTCTACACTACCTGCCAGATCGGCTGGGAGTAATCGATCTATCGGGGATCAATTTATTGCATCTCATCTAGATGCGATAAATTGATCTCCAAATCGATGCCCGTACTCCACCTCCGCAGGAGGAGTAAGAGGAGTCAACGGGGGAGCCGCAGCGGTCGACTTGCCGCCGTGAGGACGGCCAGGTAAGTCGAACTAAGATATTTCGGCTTCATGTAGCTGAAGTTGCTTATCTTAGATCGATCCCCCCCCCAGTGTAGACCAGCCCAGAGACACACACCCTGTATGTG